TAGTTAGTTTAGAGGTGACCATATTTCTACTCTTGGAGAGCCTAGACCATCCTGAAGCAAGGAGATTCTTATCTGGGTAAAAGGTGGGCTAACCAGACCTCGCAGGTGATTTTATGAATGAGTGAGGCTCAGATTCAAGAAACCGTGCTGAATGAAATGATAGGTCAACTTCTTTTTACCCCTGTGAGCTTTCTGATGTATTCTTGAACTTCACAGTTGCTGTATAGGAAAGTATACATGTCATTAATTAAAATGGGAGGGGGAGAGAGGAGTTGGGAGCCATTTAAAATGATAGTGAAAAGGAAACGCTCCAGAGCTTTCCAAATCTTGAGAAGACTCAATTCACTTAATGCTGCCTTTCTACCTAAAAGTTCAGAGCAAAAAGAAATACATGGGCAAATTCATATAATATTAAATCACTCTCTTAAAAGCATTTTAATGGGCTAAACCCATTTTATCTTACATTTCGACATCTAAATAGGCTACCCTGCTCATAAAACAGCCATACAGCTGAATTAGCTACTTTGGGTAGGTTCCAAAGGGGAAACTATTTAGTTATAGACCACATGTGAAAATGACTGTGGTAGAAGGTAAATCATCAGCTTCATCTGAGATAATAATATAGAATATAAATAAATAAATAAATAGATAGATAGATAAATAAATAAATAAATAAAGTAATATAAATAAGAATATAAATCTTTTCCAGTTAAGTTTCATATGTGGGGAAATAAGTGCAATGCATAAGGCTGATAGTCCTGACTCTGCCACTAATTAGCTATGAAACTTTGAACAAGTCAATACATTTTTCTGGTCTTTTGTTTCCTTATCTGTGAAATGAGAAGGTTGAACTAATGCCTAAGGCTCTTTCCAGCTCTAAATTCCTTTGTTTTATGTCTAAATTACTGGATTGGGGTCAGAAACTCAAATGTCTAGGACCCAGTTGTAACCAGCAAATTCGCCAGAATAATGGTGGCTTTTAGCTGTAAGGCAAGGATAGGCTTGGTGGGGTGAGGTGGGTACTGGACAGCTCCAGTCATGGATTGGACCAGAGTGGAAATGTGGGTGGAAATGGAAGTGGATTTAGGATGGAAGTCATCTCAAGATAATTCTCACTAATTAATCTTATTCCTTCAGGTGTATTGAATACTCTGTGTTCTAAAAGAAATTGCTCTTAGGAATATCTTTAGGATAGGAGGGTGGGCTCAGCTACCAATCCAGTTACTCATAAGCAATTTTAACACATCCTAGTACCTTGGAGGGCTACAGACAGATCAGTTTTTGAGGAGCTGATTATGGCAGGAATCTCCTCTCTGCCTGGCCACACATGCCCTTGATTACATCCTTTCTAGCATTCCATATATATGATTCCACAGCCTACTTGAATCAGCTCCATGTCTTTTCATTGGTGTTTGGGTCAACTCCAATTTGGATTCTTCTGAAATGGTGGTGTTTTAACATTCCCAGCCAGACAACATTACTGGGAGAATGTGGGTATTAAAAGATGAGTTTTAGGGGCAGAGAACAATTTGATATCACCGAAAGTCCTTTGCAGTTTCACATATAACCCAGCCGATCCTCTCTCCTGCCCAGTCATCTTCTTATCCAATTCAGAGATTGTCCTGTGGTTCAGTGCTGGCATGGTTATGGCTTTTATTCACATCACATGTCTTGTGCATGCTCCCACTGGAACTAAGGTCAGGATTTGGAAATCAGAGTAAAATAGAATCGCTGGTAAAAAGGATTAAACTGGTTACTTTAGGGATATAGAAAAAAACTGCAAGAGAACTTCCTGTCCTCAGGAAGGTGCTGAACGTCAGCCAGTTTCTCTCTTCTCCAACAAACTCTAGGGAGAAAGATAAGCTATGAACCCTGGAGTAACAATCTGGTTGCCATGCGGTATCTTGAACTCATGCCATTTTAATCCATGAATCAAACTTTTTTTTAAATTGAACACGTGAGGCATTGAAACTTTGCTATTGTTGCCAAAAATAATGTAAGGTTCCTTGGACTGTAATTTCATAGCATCCAAGCTCTAAAGGTGGAAATGATTTTACTGGTCATCTAGTTCAGCTCCCTCACTTTTCAGATGAGGAAATTGAAGGCAAGGAAAGTGAAAGGACTTACCCAAGGTCCCAGAGATAAACATCAGGGGCAGGATTACTTTTTTCCCCCGTACCACAATGTGTCATAGCAAGATTTCAGTTTGGGCCGTGTTCTGATATGAATGTTGGTGGAGACCATTGAGACCCTCCTTGTGATGGGTGCCATGGCTACCTTCAAGTATCTGAAGGGTTATCATGTAAAAGAGAGGGCAACAGTAGGAGCAAAGCAGAAGGTTGCCCAGAGGCAGATCTGTGCTTGATTTAAAAACATTCCCTAACAATTAGAGCTATGCCCAGGTGGAATGGGCTGCTGGGAGGTGCTCAAAGCAAAAACTAGATGACTACTCATGAGGGATGCTCTGGAAGGGTTTCCAAGTGCTAGTTGGATTAGGTGGTCCCCAATATTCCTTCCAGCCTTGAGATTTTGTGTTTCAAGTGGTGGAAAGCATCCCCAGAGAACTGAGACAAGAATTTCTCATTAACTTCATGACTTGAGGAAGGGACCTGTTGGCTTACAGTTTGTTAGGGCTCTTCGAGGAGATCCTAGAAGAAATTATAGCACAGGTGGAGAATCAGCTTGGTAAACTACCTCAACTACAAGTTGCAAGCCTAGCAGACTCCAGCCAGAAGAGTGAATCATCATTGTGTTTATTAGAATGGAAAGCCAGTGGGGTTATCCAAAGTTTTCAACTTACTAATGCTTTGTAGATGTCAGTTGTACACACAATACATTGCTTTAAGATTATAGTTAAGGTAGAGAAACTAATACAAGCCTTTGGAACAAATGAACAAGGTCTTTCACCTTGGTGATATGATGAGAGGACCAATTTTCTGTTTCTTAATTTCAAATGAATTTCATGATCACATTGGGGAACATAGAGATATTGAAATCATTCTTCCATCTAGACAAAGTGCTCTTAATCTGGGAGGTCTGTGAACTTGATTAAAAAAATTCATAATTCAGTCTAATTGGTTTCCTTTTTAATCCTATGTATTTTATCTTATGTGATTAAAAACATTGTTCTTAGGGGCCGCTAGGTGGCGCAGTGGATATAGCTCTGTCCTTGGAGTCAGGAGGACCTGAGTTCAAATCCTACCTCAGACACTTAACACTTATTAGCTGTGTGACCCTGGGCAAGTCACTTAACCCTGATTGCCTCACCAAAAAGCAAAAACAAACAAAAAATAAATTAAAAATAAAATAAAATAAAAACATTGTTCTTAGAAGGGGTTTATAGGATTCACCAGACTGCCAAAGGGGTTCATGACCCACAAAAAAGTTTAAGAATCTCTGATCTAGCCTCTGGAAGGCTGTTTTCAGAAAATGGAGAAAGCAGGAGTTATATACCTATTTTACAGGCCAGTTGGAAGAGAAAGCCATCCTTGCAACTACTTGGACCTCTGAAAATCTGAGGGCAAAGATGAAGAAAGTCCCCAGAGCTTCATGGAACCCCATTCTCTACACTTTCCATCTCCCTCATCACACTCCCAGCACAGCCTCTCCTCCAGGTGACAGTTGTCCTTCCTCCCCACCCCAACACACACACACACACACACACACACACACACACACACACACACACA